TCTGAACAAGCTGCCCCAGGGCAGGGACCTGTGAGGGCTGAAGGGCCTGGTCTGCGCTTGCTCATTGAGTCTGTCGTCCAACAAATGTAGTTTCTTGAACATCCAAAATTCTCAACGCTTGGCTCAGTGCCATGGAGCTACGCAGACTTTGTAACTGCCCAAACAAGAACATTTTCTGACAAGAAGCATGAGTAAGACATACAACTATCTAGCTAAAGCTAAAGGAAATCTGACAAAAACAAGTCAAAGGTTTTCAGGTGTCACTGTTGAATGAACCATAGGAATATTAGAAAGTAAACACTGGAGCTTTGTAATTCTGATACATTTAAGTGAAATTACTAAAATACTACTTTGTAATTAAATATAAAAACTGGAAATGAGGGGGCTGGGAAGGTGGCTCAGTGGTAGAGCGCTTGCCTTGCATGCATGAAGCCCTGGGTTCGATTCCTCAGCACCACATAAGCAAAAAGAAAAAAAGCCGGAAGTGGTGCTGTGGCTCAAGTGGTAGAGTGCTAGCCTTGAGCTGAAGAGCTGAGGGACAGCGCCCAGGCCCAGCGTTCAGGCCCCACAACTGGACCCCCCCCAAAAAAAAACTGGAAATGAGAAATGAACAATTTGTGGGTGGAGACAGGAGGGCAAAACTGGGAGAGAGCGAGGGAAGGAATAACATTATCCAAAAAGAAATGTATTCATTACCTGATTTGTGTAACTGTAACCTCTCTGCACATCACTTTTACAATAAAAACGAATAAACAATGAAAAAGAGGGGCTGCGAAGGTGGCTCAGTGGTAGAGCGCTTGCCTTGCATGCCTGAGGCCCTGGGTTCGATTCCTCAGCACCACATAAGCAAAAAGACAAAAGCCGGAAGTGGCACTGTGGCTCAAGTGGTAGAGCGCTAGCCTTGAGCTGAAGAGCTGAGGGACAGCGCCCAGGCCCAGAGTTCAGGCCCCACGACCAGACCCAAAAAATAATAAAAAAAGAAAAAGAAAAATTGAAAGCAGGGTTTATACCATGGGGGAGGGACATACAAAGCAACAAAGAAATCAATTTATAAATATGTTAGAAACAATCACATGAAAGAAAAAACATTTGAATACTTATCTTCGCTGTATTTGATGTTGGTATGATTTGTGGAGAGGAAGGGAAAAAACAAATCATTTAAATAGGGATACAGGTAGACCCATTGCAACAATGAGATGTACAAGTCGTTATGTTGAAAAAACTTTACAACTTTCGGGGGGGGGGAAGGGGAGATGGGAAGGGATGGGAAGGGGAAACAAAGGAGGAGGCAACAATGCTTGATAAGAAATGTACTCATTATCTTGCCCATGTAATTGTAACCCCTCTATACAGTATTTTCACAATTAAAAAAAAGAAAAATTGGCAGTGATTTTAAGTAGAATTTGGGCTTCTTGAGTCATACAAATACCTAGTTTTAATGCATTTGATATATGAATATTGTTGCAATGTAAGGATATCGGTGAAAACAACACATCCCAATGGATATTGAATAATAAAAAAGGGGTAAAGGTATGAAGTATGAAAACTAAGAAAATAATTGGATAGATTTCAGGTTTGTCACCAGACATGCAATATTTTAATATTTGTAAATAACTTTTAAATATACATTTAAGATTTTTAGCACTTATAGGTAGCATATATTTGTGTGTATATATATGGTTCACTTACTTTTAGTAATCTGGTAATTGATATTTTTAGGATATACTTCCCAGAGAGTTTGTAGATTGGGTGTTCTATATGTAGAAAAACATTTATGGACCTATTAGCTATAAACCATGGCTTTCTTGAATATAATTTTATTGCTTATAAAACAACCAACTCTGCTCTCAAGATGATGTTTGCTAACTTACAAATATTAACTGTATAGAAACTATTTCAACCTTAATGTTAAAACAAAAAAAATAAGGAAAGGAAAAAGAGAAAAAGTGAAGAAGGGAAGGGAAAGAATGGGAAGGGAGGAGAGGAGAGGAGAAGACGAGGAAGAGGAAGAGGAAGAAGAAGAAAATCGCCTGTCCCGGGCTTTTACAAGGCCTCTCAATGATGGGGCAGTTAGAACCAAACTACTGTGAATAATGTTTGCAAAGGCTTTCTGGGGCACGACTTTAATTAACTGTTTTTAATTTTTAGAGCTAATTAATGGAATGATTAGCTTCTGTCTTCCTCGGAGGAACTGAACCGCCCTAGCTGAAGGCACTAGCTGAGGTATCCACAGAATTTCCTTCCCCAGCTTGTGTGGTCTTGAAGTCTTGAAGAATTTCTCCTTTCCACCTGGCATTGGGAGGCACAGTCCTGTGCTAGCTGCAGGATTTTTTTTTTTTTTTGGTCAGTCCTGGAGCTTGAACTCGGGGCCTGGATGCTGCCCCTGAAACCTCTTTGTGCTCAATGCTAGCGCTCTACCACTTGAGCCACATGGCACTGCTTCTGGGGTTTTTTTAGTGGTTTATTGGAGATAAGAGTCTCACGGACCTTTCTGCCTGGGTTGGCTTTGCACTTAGATCCTCAGATCTCAGCCTCCTGAGTAGCTAGGATTAGAAGCGTGAACACCAGCACCCAGCTTGGCTGCAGGATTCTCACAAGAGGGATTTTCCATGCTAGGGAAGAGATTAGAGATGCACATGCCTGTGCACGTTACATTTATTTATTTAAGATATTATCATCAAGTACATTTTTAATGTTCTTTCTTTGTGGCCACCAGTTATCATTTTAGCCCTCTAGCTGTAGCTATGCAATGCCTATTCCTTAGACCAGAAGAGGAACCACTGCTGAGCCCCAGGGGGGTGGGAGTGGGGAGGGGCCCAGTGGCTCTTCCTGCAGGTCCTGCCTGGGCTGGGGCAGCAGCCCGTTCCCTCAACTTATTTTGGATAAGCTTGAGGGGATCAGATTGTGCTAACATCTCCCTCCTGTGTCTTAAGTTAGGGTTTCCTGAACGATCTATACAATTTCGGGGGACAGAGGAGCTGAAGAATACAAGTAGGGCCTACTTTTTCCTAAATGACATGTCCCATGATAGCAGCGTATGGGCTCCAGACAGAAAGCAAGAAGAAGGAAAAATGAAAAATCTACTGCTAAGATGAACCCAAAAGATAAATGAACAAATCTGACTTTAAGGTCGTTGATAGGAGATTGTCCATCCTTACAGGTTTACTTTGGAGAACTTGAAGCAGAAAATTTCACATTCCCTGCCTACTTAATCTTCATTGTCTAGTTTCAATCATAAAGAAAAAAAAAGAACAGAATCCCAGAGAATCGTTCCTCTCTTACCACGGGGATTACTTGAGCAAGGATATGTATGCACTCTGAGGTACTCACAGGGAAAGCCATGGATTTTTTACTATTTACTCAACACCAAGTGGCCACTAATATACATTTAAAGGGCTTCAAGCAATGAGTTCATTTCCGAGTGCAAACATGTCCTTTAAGGCAGCTCTTTCAGAGAACACTGCACACGTGTGGTCCTGGGCCACATAATCACCCTGGCAGGCTGAGCTGCCTCTTGGCACAGTCCCTGCAAGTCTTCTGCAGTTTGGACTCATCAATTAAAAGCCAGGTCTGTACACAGGACCGCTTGAGGACTGCTAGAAGTTCATTGCTAATTACCAGGGCAAACATTAGTACTTCAACATTGACAAACAGAGAAACAATTTTCAGACAATGAGCTCTAAGAAAAATTTTATCAGCTGGGTGCTAGTGGCTCATGTGTGTAATCCAGCTATTCAGGAGGCTGAGATGGAAGCCGGCCCAAGCAGGAAAGTCGGTGAGATTCTTATCTCCAGTTAACCAGCAAAGCTGGAAGTGGAGCTGTGGCTCAAGTGTTAGAACACCAGTCTTGAGCAAAAAAGCCAACCAAGAGTGCAAGGCTCTTGAGTTCAAGTCCCAGTACTGGTATAGACACACAAAGTATCCCACCAAATGCAAATGCTATCGTCCACCAGTGGTTATTGTCAAAGACAACAGCCTCAGAGGCAAAAGCCATAAGCCAGTGACCTCCACAAACCCTTTGCTCCCGTGAGTATCGGCATATTGTTGCAGACATCCCTGTCACTGCTGATCTGAAGGCTTCTTATCAAATGAAAGGCTTCAGATACCCTAGCAAGTGCTCTGCACTTTTTGCAACTATATTGTGCCAATATAGTTCCACTTCTAAAGGAGCTGAAGGAATGAACAGAAAGATCACCAGCAGGTTTCCTGAACCAGGGCAAGTGGTTGTAAGTTTAACTCACCTCCCTACGCCAGGCCACCAACCCAGAGGATTCACTCCACTGTGGGCCAGTCACCAAGTCCTTTCTGAGCCCAATCTCCAAAAAAGTCTTGGAAAAGGAGAGAGGAAAATTCTAAACAATGCTTCTCATCTTTCCTGAGAAACACACCTAATAAAAAATAAAGCCAATTGGGAAAAAAAAAGATGTGATTCATATTTGAGGGCCATTATCAGTGTAGAAAAATGATTCATAGCCAGATGGCATCTTTCTTTCTCCATATTATAAAGTAAATTCCTCCTGCTTAATCATTTTAATCAGACTAAGAGACAGCATGAATTAAATTGGTTAAAACCTTAATGAAGTCATAATATTTATTAATAGGAAATCCTGAATATAGAAGATCTATGAATCCCTTAATTACTTCTACTTTATAAACTGGCTTTTTCAAACAATCAAAGAAGTGCCTTTTTTTATTAAAGAACAAAGTTTCAGATGCCTTGAGCAGCAAAATAGTGATCATTACAAACTCTTCACAGATCCATCAAATATAGATCAGATCCTGATCCAACATTATTTCTGCATTTTTACAACAATTTTCACTCACAAATTCAAGGTGAAAATGACATCAAAAACATCCACAGGTGGACCCATTGCAACAATGAGATGTACAAGACATTATGTCTTAAAATGAACTTTACAACTTTGGTGGGGGGGAGGCGGGAAGATGGGAAGGGATAGGAAGGGGAAACAAAGGAGGAAACAACAATGCTTGACAAGAAATGTACTCATTATCTTGCCCATGTAATTGTAACTCCTCTGTATGACATTTTCATAATAATTTTTAAAAAATCCACAGGAAAAGGAGGTAAGAAATGCCAGTCAATAAAATGGTAACACTATTTTGCATTAGTGGTTGGGGTTTTTTTTCTTTGTATTTTCCTAATGTCCTATTATATGGCTATATAATTTTCAAACAAAAAATTATAAATGAAGAAAGAACCCAAAGTTAAAAGATATAGTTGACATTATAAAATAACTCCTAAACAAATGTGCAGAAAAGAAACCAAGATCAAGGAGACACAGAGCAAAAAGACTACCTGGGCCCAGGGGAGATGTACAATGAAGCCCATTGATGGTGTTTCCCAGCAGTGCTGTCTTTGGAGACTGAAAGTGGCGGGCGGGAGCTCCCTTCCCTGAGGCACCTAGGATTCAGACCAAGGCCTGTGTGGTGAGTGTTGGCTTCTTTAAGTATGTTAGCCTGCAAGCCTGGCGAGTCTCACAGCAGTAGTGTGTGTGCTTCATTCTGTCTGGGCATTCAGGAGAGGAGAGATGAGCCTCACACAGCCATCACAATGACTAATGACTGGTGGCCTTGCTGGCAACACAGCCCACACACTGACTCACCAGCACTGTTACTTTCTGACATAGGTAAGAGCAGGCAGAGTGTGTATGTGACTAGGGGTTAAACCCAGGGCCTTCTGCATGTTAGGTGAACGCTCTACCTCTCAATTACACAGCCAACTCAGCGCTTCTTTTTTATATTTCACAAACTCAACTATATTCATTCAAGAAACTACTCGCATGCATGAGGCTGTCCCCAGATTTCACGCACCCTGCCAGCCCCCAGAGACGACTCTCCATACCACTTTTACGAGGTGGTTTTGGACAATAAAAATCAAACCCTGTATTTAAAACAGATAAGTGTCTCATAAGATAAGAAATACTCAGTGTTTTTCATGTCCTACTGGACATTCCGAACTAATCAATTTCTCCTGAGAGAAGGACTGGGGATGCTTATGTCTAGGTAAATACAAACAGAAACCCCTTGATCAGGATAGCAGAATCCATGCCCCAGAAAATCACACAGTCTGTGCCCAAAGGCTTGCTTCCTCCATCTCTAAGTAGTGTCCTCCTCCAGATCCGAAGTGTCTGGAGGTTGGGCATTTGCCTAATCCCGTGGGTCCTCAGGCAGGGTCACAGCTGCTGGCCGGTGAAGAAGGATTTAGTCTCCCTGCAGACAGGATTTACACACAGAGGACAGCTCAGAGTCAACTGCTTGGAGCACAGCTTGTTTGACTGCATGTGTGAGTATACCAAATCAGCCAGAGCCTGCAAGACAGGAGCACAGGTCCATGAGAAGCCACAAAGCTGCCGGTCCTGAGGGCGCACCTTTCTATCTTCTGCCCACATCCAGGTCCTGGCTGAGGGCTACTTTGGGGAAACTGCCTGAACTCAATTTTATAGCTTCTTCCTTTCCAGAGCCTCCTCAGCAATGTTAGCAAAGGAGACCTCCTCTTCCCCCTCCCGATTCTACCTTTCTTCTGAAAAGCAGATTTTAAATTAGACATCGTTAGAGATGGCTAGAAATAAGAAAATTGGCACTACCTATGGAGGAAAAAAGGGAGGGGGCAGATAAGGAATTCGATCTTATTTTTGTAATTAATTGGAACTCGGAATGTACTAATATGTGAGAAAAGCAATATTCTGCCAGTTTCTCAGAGGATTAGTCCTGGTATGTTCTACTAAAGTGCTCGTAACGCCGCAGATACCTTAGAGAACAATGGATTTCCATTAAGAGATTCCGCTCTTCTGATGTTTTCAACTCCACACTGAATCAAATGAGAAAGGAGAAGAAAAGCAGAGACATTTTATTTTCCTTTTCTTTCTTTTTTTTTTTAAAGAAACTGAGTACTACAAAAAATACGTATAAACAAATAAACACATAGATCCAAGTACACAAGTCAGTCTGACCTGGAGTGGCGATGAGCTGGTAAGTGAGGTCCAGGAGCCGCATCTGCCCCATGGCTCTTCACCTGCCACCCCCTCTGCTTCCCCACCCCCACCCGCCCACAGGTGCTGTCTCCACTCTCAGGTGGGATGGCCTTCTCATGTGATTTAATTCATTTTTGTTCTTGTTTTTAGCATTTTTTTCCTCATGTATACACTTACAGACTCTACTAAGTACAATGTTGCTTTAATTAAGTAAAATGTTCTGCTTGCTTGGTTGCTAAATACCAAAACAAAGGAAATTAATTATAGGCTCTAAATGTTTATGGGATCTAGACTGGATCCAATGCACAGTTGAATGTGTGTGTGTGTGTGTGTGTGTGTGAGAGAGAGAGAGAGAGAGAGAGAGAGAAATTTAAGGAAAAAAAAGATTGGTCAGTAATATCCCTCTTCAAAACTATTCAGCTAATTACCCTCAAATAAACTGAAAACATCTACTTTTGACTTAGGTAGCTAGAATCTTCTCTTTCCCATTGCTGACAAGAGAGCTTATCAATTGATTTATCTTTTAAATTAGCATTAACATCCAGAGGTCCCCAGGCAAAGACTTAACTGGCTGAGGAAGAGGCTAGGTTTTTAAATTTCACGAACTGTTATAGTTCATGCAATTTCCCAGTGTCCGTGTCAGCCAAACATGGTAATGCATACCTGTAACCTTGACTACTGAAGAGGAAGAGGCAGGAAGATCCTAAGCTGGAGGTCAAACTGGGCAAAGTTAGTGACATTCTGGCTCAAAAACCAAATAAAAATATAAGGACCAGGGCATGGCTCAAAGGGTAGACTGTTTGCCTAGCATGCACAAGGCCCTGAGTTCAGTCCTTAGCACCAAAACACAAAATCTAGGAGAAAGTCAGTGGCAGCAGAATAACCCTACTGTCAAAGGGCATTCTCTGACATCACAGCTGCAGCCAATTAGCCCACTTCTGGAGGGAATCCAGGAAAATACAGAACAACTCTAAATGCCTTTCCAGGCAAGGTAATACTGGAAAAAGGAAAGTATTTATTATAAAGTGGTTTATACTAGTAATACTTCAAATGTGTGTGTGTGTGTGTGTGTGTGTGTGAATCAGAAATTTGTTATGTTACAGAGACCTAATTAAATATACTGATTTGGGTCCACGATACATTTTTTAAAAAGAAAACACAGGCCAGGCACTGGTGGTTCACGCCTGTAATCCTAGCTGCTCAGGAGGCTGAGATCTGAGGATCTGATTTGAAGCCTGCTACGGAAGGAAAGTATGGGAGATTCTCATCTCTAATTATATGCCTAAATGCCAGAAGTGGAACTGTGGCTCAAGTAGAAGAGCACTAGCCTCAAGCACAAAAGTTTAGGGACAGCACCAAGGTCCTGAGTTCAAACCCCAGGGCTGGCACAAAAAAAGGAGGAAAAAAAAAAACAGGAGATGACAAAATAGTATTAACAAAATACCATTTTTATCAAGCAGGTAGAAGCCTAATGTAGCCAGGCACTGGTGGCTCATACCTATAATCTTTGCTACTCAGGCTGCTGAGATTTGAGAATCGCGGTTCAAAGCCAGGCTGGGCATGAAAGTCTGTGAGACTCTTATCTTCAATTAACCACTAGCAAACCATCAGCGGCATTGTGGCTCAAAGTGTAGAGAACTAGCCTTGAATGAAAAAGCTCATGGACAGTGCCCAGGCCCTGAGTTCAAGCCCCACAAGTAACCAAAAGAAAAAAAAAAAAAAGAAAGAAAGAAAAAGCTATTTCTAGCCAGGTACTTGTGGCTCACCCCTACCATCCTAGCTACTCAGGAGGCTGAGATTTGATGATTGCAGTTCAGCAGCTGGGACAGGAAAGGCTATGAGACTCTTATTCCAGTATACTACCAAAAAAGTTGGAAGTGGAGCTGTGACTCAAGTGGTAGAATGAGAACCTAGAGCAAAAGAAACTCAGGGACAGACCCCAGGCCCTGAGTTCAAATCCCAGGACTAGAACACACACACACTCTCTCTCTCTCTCTCTCTCTCCCTCTTACCATTCATTAATCCTTTTTTTTTTTTTTTTTGGTCAGTCATGGGGCTTGAACTCTGGGCCTGGGTGCTGTCCCTCAGCTCTTCAGCTCAAGGCTACTGCTCTACCACTTGAGCCACAGCACCA